AAAGTGTCCAATCCAGCCTGTGGAGAGGCATTCTCAAAGCCTACCCTCTGATGCAAAAAGCTACTGTCTGGAGTATCAGGGATGGGCAGACAACTGAGTTTTGGAACCACCCCTGGATTGATCAAGACACAATACTGGAGGAACACTGCCTCAGAACCCTGACTGATGATGAGAAACTTACCTTAGTTGCTGATATGGTGAATGAACAAGGTGAGTGGGATTGGACAAAGCTTAACTCTCTTCTCCCTAATGTTTGGCTGTCTCGCATTGCAGGGATGGAAACTCCCAAACATGGATTGGGGGAGGACACCACTATCTGGGGACTTGAACAGGACGGGCGATTCAGGCTCAAATCGGCCTACCTGCTTGTTGCGAATGAGATCGACAAGATGGAAGATCAGGGCTGGAAGGAGCTGTGGAAGTGGAGTGGACCAAGCAGAGTGAAGCACTTCCTCTGGCTGGTCATGCACAACAGGCTGCTCACCAACCACGAAAGAACGATTAGAAAGCTGACAAATGATGGCAGCTGCAAGGCCTGCAACGATGGTCTGGAAACAATTGAGCACATCCTGAGGAAGTGCAAAAAAATAGAGGGAGTCAGACATTTCTTCAGAATCGGACAATATGTCCATGACACAAGAAATTTCAAACAGTGGATGATGGAGAACCTGAATGATGCTGAGAAAGGAATTGAATTCGGTATCATGTGTTGGATGATTTGGAAGCAAAGAAATGAGGAGACTTTGGATGGGAAAAAGTTCTCCGAACCAGGGCTCATTAGCAAGATTGTCTCCTGGATTCGAGTGTATCAGCAAGCAAAGTTTAACGAGGAGAGGAGCATTCTGGCACCAAGAAGTCAGCTCATCTCCACCCCCATTACGTGGAAGCCACCAAGGGAGAACTGGATCCAAATCCAAACTGACGGATCAGTTCTTCAAAGTTCAGGGAAGGCGGCGGCGGGAGGGCTCATTCGTGATCATCTGGGCAGGTGTCTTGACGCTTTCATCTGTAACTTAGGGAACTGCACGATCACCATGGCCGAACTGAAAGGCGCTGAAATTGGATTACAAAGAGCGTGGGACAAAGGGTACCGGAAGGTCGAGCTCAACCTCGACTCTATGACGGCGATCAGTATCATGAAGAACAACAAAGACACGGATCATCGTTATGGGCTCATAGCTGCACGTATTGGAATTCTGTTGGATTTTGAATGGGATGTCAAGGTGTCCCATGTATATAGAGAAAGTAATTATGCTGCCGACTTCTTGGCAAGCAAGGGCCATTCGGCCAATTTTGGTACACATCCATTCGATGTGTACGATCCTAGTTTTTGTAACTGGTTGATGTATGACTCCATGGCCATCTCCATGGATCGTTCTATTAATGTTATGAATTAGGACGCATGACGTCCGTCTTCCTACAAAAAAAAAAAAAAAAAACCTCTTGTTTCATGGGATATGGTGCGTAAGGTCATTTGAGAACTGGCAAAATGACAATGCCGATCCAGATTCTGAAATCAGTGTTTTTGCTAAACGAACACGAAAAGACTTGAAGCTCCCTCCTTCCTTTGCTACGCAGATAGCTCAGTCTATTCAGGTTTCCATACCCAAATACTTTGGCGAATGGCAATACCATTCAGTTTTTTCTTTCTTTTTCCATTGCCAAATTCCTGTGCTTCTTGTTTCATTCTTTCACATTCTTTCTATTCATCTGTGAACCCAACTTCCCACTAGTCATTTGAAGCTTGAGTTTATGACTATTCTTGAATGTGAAGACACGGTGCAAGAAGGCGTTTAAGTTGTAGAAGCTCTTAAAAATTGTCTCTACAAAAGCAACAAATTCCAATATGACTTCATTTATGTTTTGGAGCACAAAGAAATGTTAGGTGCATCTCTTAATTGTTACTGTTAAGCAGATAGTGCTTATAAACTTTAAGGTGGATACATATGACTGAATTATGAGAAAGAGTTGCTGCTTTTATGTGGTGTTCATAAGTTTTGGAACAGTGGATTAGTAAAATTCAGAACTTTCGAGGCCACTGTTTGTATAGATACTGTGTTTTGATAAGAGGAGTTTGATTGAAGAAAGGATAAGCTTTGATGGGGTCTTGCCATTTCCTATAATAGAACAGGGTGTTAGTCATTATGCATAGGAAGTTTCTGTTGTTCTTATCAGTCAACAAAATGAAAGAAAAATAACAAGATGCAAGCTTCAAGTAGCATCCCAACTCTTATACTACTATCAAATCCTGTTTCATTTTGTGTTTTGTGTATCCAAATCTTGCCCTCTACTATTAGGTAGTAGGTACTAGTAACGACCGCAGGAATATGATCATATTTGAATTTGTGGGTTGTGTAGGCATGTCTAATAAGTAACCAGATTACCTCCATTGCATTTCACTTTCTGTAGAAAATTGCTGCATCTCTTCATTTGGTTCATGCTGTTAATATTTGGACATATGCTAAATCTTAACTGTCGCAAACCCCAAGCACATTTGATGGTTTCGTTCTTTAGTTGTCTTGGAAATCCGGAAGAGAAAGGAAACGGATGTCTATGGGCCAATGGTGGATATCCTATCAAATGAGGAAGTCACCGCTCTTGAATCAAGGGAAGAGAGTAAACTAGGGGTGTAAGTTTGACCCTTAAGTCCCACTGACCCGTCCCGACCCGCCCCGACCCTTAGGGTCGGGCTGGGTCAGTTTGTCTATAGGGTCAATTTAGGGTCGGGTCGGCTTAGGGTCGGGTCAGGGTCAGATAGGGTCGGGTCAATTTAGGGTCGGGTCACTTTTTGACCCTATGACCCTTAGCATCATACAAACATGTTGGACCTATTTGTAAAATTTTATAAGTTTAGGTACTAAATTGTAAAAATTTAAAAATTCGGGTACCAAAACGTAATTTTACCATCAAATTTTAGGGACTAATTTGTAAAAAAAATAAAATTTAGGTACTAAAATGTAAGAAAAAATAAATTTGGGTACCAAATTGTAATTTTTGGAAAAGTAGTCTATTTATTAGGGTCGACCCACTGACCCGACCCTTATTGACCCGCCCCGACCCTAAAGGGTCAGACAGGGTCATTAAAGAAACAGGGTCGGGGCGGGTCAGTTATACATCTTGACCCTTCAGGGGCGGGTCAGACAGGGTCAGGACAAGGTCGGGGGCGGGTCGGGCCAATTTTCAGCCCTAGAGTAAACCTCGGTGAGTTGGGTAAAAGTGATTCTTAGATGAGGATAGAGGTAGCAAATGAGATGGGTTCATAGTTCGCGGAATGGGTTGAACCAAGTTTGTGGGTTCGTCCGGGTTCATATGTTGGTTAAAACGAGTGGTTTGGGGATTTAACGACACTCTTCATTGTTTGATGAGAACAACATGGTGTTTTCTATCATTCATCAAGTCTAAGCATTGCTTGTTGGTAGAGGTGGCAAATGGATTGATCCATGGATTGGTGGATTCATGGATTTAATGGATTGGTGAATTCATGGATTGGATCAAGTGGATTGGTGGATTAACCAAGGACCAATATGTAAAATGTGAAAAGTTTAGGTACTAAAGTGTCATAATGAAAAATTTTAGGTACCAAAACATAATTTTCCAATGATATCATTCGTATAAAAAATTAAATTTTGGGTACCAAAATGTAAAATATAAAAAATATAGGTATCAAACCGTAATTTACCATTTGGATCTCCGGATCAATCCATGAATTCACCATTCCAATTGGATTTGATTTAAATGGATTGGATTAGGTGGATATTTTTAATGGGTTGGTAGATTGGATTGAGAATTGTCACCTCTACTTGCTGGGTAAGCTTTCAAAAGTTTGTAAACACTAGATTGTAAAATGCCATAGGTCTCTTAATTTGTTTAGTGTAAAGATGAGTTCCACATTGTACTTTTCTGTTATCAGGAATGAACTTTAAGTATGACTCCACGTATTTAGTACCAAATTGTAATTTTCAGAGAAACCTGTCAACCCTGCCCATCGTCACAACGGGTTTGGAGGGGTAGTTAATATATTTTTTTTTTAATTTGATCTTATTATAACATCGCATAGTGCGATGATAGTTACATAATTAAAAATACATTATATAAATCTTATGGAGAGTAGTTATTTTTTATGTATTACTTAAATATTGCGTGATGATTCGAATTACACAATGCAAAATTACAAGTGTAACACTACTCTATAAAAGTTACACAATTACAAGTATTTTATAAAAAGCTCTCAATTTCATCATAACTATTTTATCGTTAGATCACATAGTACTAAATATTTGCGTAGCATTTACAACTGTTATTAATTGCAATATATTATTGTATAAAGCTTAAGCTTCCAAATTCAGACTTATTTCTTTATTATTTGCATTACACTAAGGCTTTTTTTTTTTTTGTGGAGGCTTTTTAAGGCAAGTTGTTTTTCACATAACAATTTAATCAAATTTGATATTTTTGTTTACTTGATTTCATCATTGGACCGTACAATAAAAAGATTCGTGTACCACTATTCTATAAAATCATGTAATTACAAATGTATTATATAAAGCTTTCAAATTTATGATAACTTCTTTATCATTTGCATTAGACATATGTTTTGTATGGTCAATGACTTAAACAAACATATGGTCTATGTAGTCCTCCAAAAGAGACTAAATTCAGTGCAAAATAATGGAAGCATCAAAAAGATCCACGAATGATTAATTTGACCAGCTATCTTTTTTTTAAGAACCAAGAAAACGGCCTTTCGCATTGGGGCCGTTGCTATATGGTTGATTAGTGCGTAAGATGCATTTCAGAGACAATTTTTTTATTTACAAATAGTAATTTTGTTAAAATGATTAGAGTTGCTAGCTCGGTTAGTAGCTGCGCATAGACGGACAGGAAAAAGTGGGTGACGGAAATAAATATTATACATCAGGGTACATAGGACAAAAATAAAATAAAAAAACATCAACTAATCCATCGATCCGCTATATATTCGAACGATCATCTCGAGTATAGATCCATCAAACAAAAAGCCCCACCAAACTTGAACCAAAGCAAAGAAAACACAATGAGAGAAATGGATTTTTTCATCAATCCAACGAGTACTGTAACTCTTACAGTAATCCTGATCGTGGGCACTACCCTTTTCACGATAGTTATAAAAAAGATGACAACTTCAAGCAAGCACTCATCTTCACCACCACCAGCACAAGTGTCAGCCGCCGGAAGGCCGCCTCCAGGGCCATGGACGCTGCCGATAATCGGCAACCTCCACCAGCTAGCAGTTGGGCTTTCCCTCCCTCACCGCCGGCTGAGGGACCTGGCCCAACAACACGGCCCACTGATGCAGCTCCAGCTCGGCGAGATCCCGGCGGTTATCGTGTCGTCGGGGGAATGGGCCAAAGAGTTCACCCAAACCCACGACCTCAACTTCGCCAGCAGGCCCTTCATCCCGGCCGCCGACATCATCTTCTACGGCGGCCGCGACATCGGGTTCTCCCCCCACGGGCCGTATTGGGCCAAGATGAGGAAGATTGTGGCCGTCGAGCTGCTGGGCCCCAGGCGGGTCAAGACTCTGCGGCCCATCATGGACCAGGAGATGGCTAAGCTCGTGGGCTTGATCAACACAAAGCCCACCATCAACCTCACCGAAATGCTCGTCTCCCTGGGGAACTCCATCATCAGCCGCGCCGCCTTTGGCAAGATCCAGAAGCAGGAGGAAGTCTTCCTGCCGTTCATCAAGGAGTTCATGAAGATGCTTGGAGGGTTCAGCCTCGGGGATCTCTTCCCTTCCAGCAGCTCGTTGCGTCTGCTCATCACTACTAGAGCCGAGAAGAAGCTCAAGAAGGTTCACTCGGGGGCCGATGCCATCTTGGATGCTATAATCAATGACCGTTTAGCGAAAAGAGGAGCAGCACCACCAGCTTGTAACGTTGAAGGTGGTGATCAAGACCTTCTTGATGTTCTTTTGGATCTCAAGGACAACAACGACCTTGGAACCACTGAGATCAAAGCCGTCATCCTCGTAAGTTACCTTTACCTACCTAGATAGCTACATGATCTATTGTAACAAAAACATTACTCTTATGATGATTATGTATATATATATGTTACAGGACATGTTCCTCGCTGGATCTGATACGTGGACCATCACCGTAGAATGGGCAATGTCCGAACTTATGAAGAACCCCAGAGCTATGGTGAAAGCACAAGAAGAGGTGAGACGAGTTTTTGGCGGCAAAGGAAAAGAAGGAGTAGTTGACGAGGCATCCATCGATGAACTGCACTATCTAAAACTAGTTTTGAAAGAAACTTTAAGATTACACCCTGCCGGTCCTTTAGCCATTCCAAGAGAATGTCACGAAACGGTTGTGATCGACGGATACAAAATCCCGGCCAAGACAAGAGTCTTTCTCAATTTATGGGCCATTGGCCGAGATCCGCATCACTGGACCCAACCCGAAGTCTTCAATCCTGAAAGGTTCCTTGATACTTCGATTGATTTCAACGGAATGGATTTTCATTTCATTCCATTCGGAGCTGGACGAAGGATGTGCCCAGGAATGTCTTACGGGGTCGCTTTGGTCTATCTTACCCTTGCCAATTTGCTCTATCATTTCGACTGGAAGCTCCCTCACTTAATTACGCCCGAAGATTTCGACATGTCTGAAAGATTTGGAATTGAAGTGAAGAGGAAATTTGAGCTAATCCTCATCCCGACTCCATACAAACCTAAATTAAACTAGCTTGTGTATGTAGGATGTGTACTACTACTTAACGGCTCCCTTCAGGTTCCTCTCGCTTTGTTGTTTCAATCCACCGAAATAAATTATTACACTATTATTGCATTGAGGAGTACGTTTGTTAATTTAACATAATAAAGGGGTACAAAATTCTATTAATCCAAGTAAATTTGATTTTTTCTGTTTCTATTCTCTACCAAATAGAGAGAAAGATAAGGGTTGAAAAACCCCTCCCGGGACAAACCCTCTCCCTAGATCTCAAGTAATAACTTATTCGTTATTACTAATATTGGCTAGGTTTGGTTAGGGTAAGCTTAGTTTATTATTGTTTATCAAGGGTATAACTATTGTAAAAGTGTAAACAACAAAAGCTAACAAAAAATTAGTGGGCAGCGGAGATACAATCTGGGCCCCCACTCTTTTAGATATAGCAAAGCTAAGTCTAGTAAAAATCTATGCGGCCGCCCGAGCCCCGCATCCTGAGACATGGTGAATTTTTGGATCCGCTTGAGCAAAGCCACACGACATTCGTATCCAACTCTCCCAACGAAGAAAAAGAAAAGGGTAGAAACCCGTAACCAGCCGCCATGCACAAGTCCCGATACTTGGCATACTTTCGCTGGGCAATGTCAACAACAACTCGAACAGGCACGAAATCAGTCATCCCAGTCTGAGTCAGAGGTGAAGACCTAGTCAAATCGACACACACATCTCGCCCCCTGTCCCAGGAATAAAGCAGCAAATCCGTAGGACGAAGGGGTCTGCCATGCCCATCAACCAAACCGATATCAACCTCCCGGCCGGCAGAAATCCTAGACCTATAACAGATGTCCAATAAGGTGTCACGAACGAGATTGTATCGATGCTTAATAAGACACGTGAACAAGCAGGGCAGGGCTTAGTAATTTTAGTATACAACTTAATTTGAGAGAGTGGTGTAAGTTTCACTCGAATCTCACCCGATCCCAAGCAGCCAGTCCCAGTATCCTAAACCGGGAAATGTAGAAGAAGTTAAGATTATGAAACATTAATTCCATCGCCACAAATTGACTGATCCATTCATGAATGGCAATTGGTAGGTTAATTAAAGGCAGGTATCTCAATACCTATACTAATATTATTTGGTAAAGGTTAGCATATATATGAGATGCATTATTAACCTTTTCAATAGTTTATGAGTGTCTCTACTTAATCAAACCTTCCCAATCGTCATATCATTTAGTCAAATTAATCTCACTGACATTACAATTAACGCCCACAACCACTAGGCTAAACTCAAAGTTCAGTCATAACGAAATACAAATTAACGATATTGGCAACAAAATAGTTAAACACAAACTCGATTGAATAAACACAACTGCAAATCGAGGGAGGTCCGACTCCCAATTCCAACACAAGTGGAATCATCTTTTGGCATTCATCAAAGAGGGATAGGATCAACGAACAACGAGGCCATGTGTGGTTCCAAAAGGTCGGAATTAGTGTAGCCATCACCTTTCTCATATATCACACTAATCGATCGTGCGAAGTTGAGAACGCGTTCTATGAGAGCTACCGGTAGTGGAGTTGGTTTTTGACACTCTTCAGCAATATCTTTCCAAGCTCTAGAAATTTCTTCCCGTAGAAATTCAACTGCATTATCCTCCGACACATCATGCTCCTTCGCATAGCATTCTATCGCCGAAGCTGCATGCTTTCTCTTTCGCTCGAACTGAAGGAAAAAAAATTCATCAATTGTTATTTTGTGTATATGGGATCAACTACTGAACATCAAAACTTATCTCGGTAAAATATTCAAGGTTTACCTTGTAAGAAACAATATCGTTTTGGATCCTAGAAATGACAGATGCAGCTCTAACCATTTTTGGTTCATTAGTTACCCATTCAAAAGCCTCCTTAGTGGCAATTCCCACTCCCATCCCAACGAAAGCAGATGTACAAAGAATGGGAAACCCACTCGTGACGTATGCATCGATCTTGTACTCCTCCATTGTTGGAACATGGTTTTTTGTACGCCACTGAACCTCAGCCAAATGGGCTCGACATATTTTCTTAAGCTACATAAATAAAATCAATTAATAAATCATCAATCCATTTTGAAAAGTTAAAAGCCCCAAAGAGAAACTTACTGTAGCTATATATAATTGTCATTCCTAGTAATTAATTACCTCTTCCTTAGCATAGTCAACGGCAAAAGTGGGTCCTATTTTCGCAAGTTCCAACTCAATTTCATCGTATAGTTCAATGATGATATGATACAAATCTTTTGTCTTGCCAGATAGTGCTTCGAGGGCACTCACTTGTAAGCTGAAAACCAAACATATAGTTTGTTATTAAGAGACATCAAATATTAAATTTGCAAATTGCAATTCAACTGAAAGGTAAATTACACTAGCTAATTATTCGGACTCCCAATATATGGATAAATTAATCAGTTATGAATTGATAAATACAGAAAGAAATGAACCTTTCAATAGCTTCCATAAACATCTTGACTTCATCATACGTAGCAAAGTTATCACAAGTGTCATCCAAGAGTGAAAGCATTAATATAATCTTGGTGCACATCATCCTTGCCAACTGATATTTTGGCTCAAAGTAAACCGCATAGATCCAATAATAGCATTCCACAAGTCTGTCTCTTGCATGTTTGAAGTTGGTCTTAACTTGAAGACTTTTCCACCACCTAATTAGCAAACCGCCAATCCATTAATAGTATACAATGATTAATTAGTTAGTTTATATAAAATTAACCTTGGTGGGTAACTAAAGATAGAAAAAAGAAAAGATTATATATCCTAGCTAGCTAGTTACCCCGATATTATGTGGAGCTCTTGCTGATGTAATTTCTGAAGCAGGTTGAAATCCAGTTTTGCAAAATGGAGGAGTGTGTGATTGTGGGAAGGGTCCTCGGAATAGAAATCGATGTAGTTTCTGGCAAGTGACCGAGGAACACATTTCCAAGCGGGAAGACCGAGCGAAAATTTTACTTGTTTTTGAAACGAAGGGCTGAGTTGTGGAAGAATGGACAAGAGGGTACTGGTAGCAAAGCTTAGGGCTTCATCTAGTATGTCTTCTCCATGGACTGCAACGTGTGCCGCCTCGTACAAGCTTAGCAACCCTTGCTCGTCCGAAGCCAACCATTGCTTGAACTTTCCCTCACTATCCTTCAAGTTTCTAAAACCATCTGCGCAGCAGTACGTACTCAATTCATTAAGATAGATTTAATTAATTAAAATCAGTTTGCATTAATTGTGAATATCTATCTGTAGCATGCATGTGTAGAAGAGATCGACTGCCTATGCCAAGTGTAGCGCTAGCTTACCAGGAGAAACAGAAAAGCCTTGTTGTCTGAGGAGTCGAAACCGGAGAGCAGCATGGTAGAGATCATGAGGAGCAGTATCATGAACGATGAATAGTTCATCGCTGAGACCATGCACTTTTGCAAGTGCCTCTTCCATCTCCGATTCGAAATGATATCCAACTCCTAATCGTTGAATCGCATCTATCAGCCGCAGCCTATTGTCACCACCATCATCATCGGCTGCAGTAACCATGTTCCTCACCTGTTCCTTGAGAGCTTCGTGTTCACTTTCAAGGGCAGGTGGGCTCTGATCTACTCCGTCGAGGAAGCCATCTTCCCAGAGTGTGGGAGGAAAGCTTGCCGAGTCACGAACCACTGGATCACTTGCCTTTTGGGTTTCCACAACAGTACTTGACATTTTTCGATCGATTTGGCCGGATACGAATATGCTGAAATTGCTATAGCTAACTACTTTGTCCGTAGCATGCATGCAAAGCGTTTAATCTGGATGTGGTTTAAGTTGGGGATCAATGCACAGGAGCCTGTTACTATTTGTAGTCAAAGCTTGTCGTAGAATTATTAGGCCGGGACCTGAGCGCAGACAAACTAATGACAGATTATCATAATCACGCACAAGAAAAGGATAGAGATGAGGATAGCTTTTGGTCCCATTTGTCCTGTTAGATGCAAGAAAGTATAAAGAACATACGAATTTATGTGGTTCACTAATACGATGTGTTTTAATTACGTTCACGGATAGAAGAGATCAGTTTTACTATACTTGAGCATATATAGATTACATATATTGAGAAGGTATATATAATACCTTCTCTAGATGACCTAACTTAATCCAACCGGTAAAAGAAAATGATATAGATCGCGGGCTAAAAATAGTAAAACAAACGTGTATAATTATTAGTACCAAATAAATACAAAGTTTTGTATTTATTAAGTTATAACCGGTAGGATTTTATAAAAAATTACTAGAATACTTGAATTCATTTTAATTGAGCGTTAAAAAATTCATGTGCAGAATTAGAGTAACGATTTTTAGCCAAAATTGTTAGAACTAAAACCAATTGTTGTTCATACTTGTTAGATACCGTTTATGACGTGCCACCAACGGTATTATTCACCTTTTGGTTTTAAATTCTTATAGCTAATAATTATTAATATTTTGGACTTTTCAATTACGATACAATTCTAACCGGATTGTTTTGATTGTGAATATACTACACCTACAAGAGGTGAATAATGTAAAGATCTGGAGTTGTGATTTGTATTGAGTACAATTAGGGATTTAAATACCCATTCTAAACACCCAGCTAACCTACGTAGCCTACAACTAACTAACTAAGGAACAACTTAACCTCCACGAACTGCACTAACTTCACTAATTACAATTGTTAATTTAAACTAAAGTAGCGTCCTTATCAAATAATGCAGTTGGTGGTGTATTTTCGATAAGGTCGACTTTACCTCAAGGGCAAGATTTAATCTCTTGTAATAGAGATTTTTAGCACCATAGTAGTGCATTTTTTGTTGGTTATTTTGCAGGTACTCACATGATATGTAAGTAATTGAAGAAAGTGAACTAAGTTTCATCAATCTATCATGTGATAGTTCGATTTTATTCGTATTTACAAATTTATGAGAGTAATTAAACATGCTCTGACGAAGATTGCTAATATCTTTTTCTTGTCTTTGTTGTGGTTTTTGTGGCAACTCGATACTGGTCATCCGGCATACTCCGTCAAAGGAAACTACACTCGTTGGCGGGACTATCTTGGAGATGTTGGGTTCTTGTTTTTTTATTTTTCTGTCAGTCTCGTGTCTTTGCTCCTCGGAGCTTCTTCAGAGCTGCCCAATTAGTAGCTTAACAGACCCTTCCATCGATAATCTGGTTTTGTGATCGTGTCCAAGTTTTTATCCCATGTCCTTTGAGCTTGCCTTGAAAAGAAAAGGTGGCGGCATAACACTATTGCGACAAGTAGCAACAAAAAAACTAATTAAGCTTAATTAATGGCCCTATGGTAGTAGCAATAATGAATGGTTGGGGACCGGATGCCTCCCCTCTTCCCTTAGCCACCGCAGCGACAGATCTTGTCTGACCTCCCCTCCTTTAACAGATTTCTTCATAACAAACAAGGGAACTTTGCTCGATCTCCCGTCCCGAGACCCATAATTTTCAATCGAGGACAAATAATCCAATTCAAATAATATCAACGTAATTAGTTTTGGGCTTTGGGGCAGTTGGCATGGAATCGCTGCATGTTACACCTGGAGCTATAGACAAACTTAGGTGCATGTGTGTTCCAAAATGTAGCTAGGTATATGCATGATTCCCGCATCTCGATCGCTTCAATTGGTACGTAATTAATTGGCATTGGCAGAATCCAACATCGAACTAATAGATCCTGATTAGGAACATCATTTGAAATGATTATACTGGTTTTCACCTAACGTGCCCTTGTCGACAATGCATGCATGCTTTCTCAAATTAATTAGTTCAAGTTGGGAATATATATATTACATACATATAGATATTCGTCCAAATGTTGTCGCGAAGCAGATGCATGTCTTTGTCCTGACGCCACCGTCCTAACAATATATATATTTTAATAAAGCTGATCTAGTCAATTTGTCTCGATTTCAGTCCACATTATTGTGGTATCACATGCATATCGATAATGGCGAGCAGAAGAGGTGTCTTTGGCGGTGTTGAGGTTGAGATCCAGAGAGTAATAATAACTAACAAGCGTAAAATAAAAATGAAGTAAGATCCAGAGAGTGATAGAGATTATTCATATCGATTTACTTATTATGATATACATTGCTGCGCAAATTATTGATCCATTGGAGTCCAGTTTTCGGTTTGGATTTTAGTGCAGATAGTTGCAATAATCGAATCTTACAAAATAGGATGAATGAGATTATTTATGGAAATCATAACGTCAATTTTTTATAGCTAGTAATTAATTTTTAATTTATAATATAAATTGGATTAAATACGATGATAATATTTTAGAATATAAAAACAAGTTGTACTATCTTTTGGCAGCATGAGACCTGGTACGAATCAAAACAAAAGTTTTGGCACTTTAGGAAATAGATTAGCCGCCCACGCTTCTCTACCCATGAGACCCGGCCGGTACGAATCAAAACAAAAGTTTTCTCCGTTTGTCAGTTTATTATCTGTTTTTTGGCAGCATATTCTCCGTTTTTTTTGTTGTTGTCTTTCAATTAGTTGTTAGAATCCAGATTCAAGCTAGGAATCAATCGGGTTCAGCTTCTGAAATATCATTTTATTGATACAAAGGAGTCCAGTTTTCGTTTTGGATTTTAATGCAGTAGTGAAGCCTTTCCATAATCGAATCTTGCAGGATTGATTATAATAAGGACAAGTACCAACCAAGACAAGTGCGGAAAAGATCGCACTACAAAAAAAAAAGCTTTTGCAACTAAAACGTTAGTCACTAAAGTAGAAAATTGGTTACAATACCTTTCCGTTACCAAAAAATTTTAGTTGAATATTCGGTCGCCATAGCCGCGTAATGAATTTTCAAAATAACTAAAATAAAGATTGGTAGCAAAAAGTAAAGCTATCACAACCAATTTTTGGCTATGATAAAAGCTTTGATTTTTCATGACCATTTCATTTGTTTTATTATAGTCTGCAATATTGGTTGCTAAATGTACGTGATTGGTCGCAATTGGATACGAAATAACCAGTTTTATGTGACTATTGGTAACCAATATATTTTGGATGCAAAAGAAAATTTACCATTTAATTTGGTCGGAAAATTAACCCATGCTAACCAATCATTTAATGCAATCATGAAACTTGATCGTAAAAAATACATATGCCAACCAATCACATCATTTTAGATGACTACTTACTTATGTTTTTTTTTTTTTTGAAGGAATTTACTCCGTATTCTAATAATAGTGAACAAGTTTTTATTAACGGATCGAAGCGGATTCAGTAGAGCTGCAAGTAAAACAGAAGGTCCAATCCAAAGCAAATTAAACATAGAAAAGTGCGAGCAGAAAGAGAATGAATTAGGGAGAGGAAAGACCACGGGCAGCGAAAAACACAGCAAGGGAAAAGCTAAGCTACTCCAATCCAACATTACAGAATACTAACAGTCCCAAGCGAGAATGGAGAAGACTTAATTTTTTTAACAAGAAACAGATCATCCGGCCGGCCAACAATGGCACCCACCAATAATCACCGAACTGAGGACTACTAGCTAAGCTAGGGTTCACTCACTCACGAGCGAGAACCACAACTTGCTTCCCGACATTGCGGCCACTGAAGAGACCCACCAGTGCAGCAGGGCCGCTCTCCAGCCCTTCAACTACATCCTCCACGTACACAATCTTCCCCTCCTTGATCCAACCCAACATCTTCTCCAAGAACTCACCATAACTGTGGAAGTAATCAAACACCACGAAACCTTGGAGTCGAACTCGCCTGGGCAAGATGTGAATCAGGTTGTGCACTCCTTCGAGCTTCTCCAGGTTGTACTGCGATATCATCCCACAGATCGTGATTCGGCCCCGGACTCTCATGTTTGGCAGCACCGCGTCCAGCATTTTCCCACCCACGCCGTCAAAGTAGATGTCGATCCCTTCTGGAAAGTACCTCTTCAGGGCTGCATCTAAGTCCTCATCCACTTCTTTGTAGTTGAAAGCCTCGTCGAATCCCAACTTGTTCTTTAGTAACTCCACCTTTAATTTTTTTTAATTTTTTTTTACACCAAGCCAAGCAATTAATTAATAAGAAGGTCCATTAATTAATTGCCTTAGAATTATGAATCACCGTCGGTGGTAATTCTCAATCCAATCCATCAATCCATACAAATATCCAACTAATCCAATCTATCTATTTGATGCAAATCTAATTGAATTTACAGTTTAGTACCTATATTTTTATTTTTACATTTTGGTACCTGAAATTTAATTTCTGTACAAAGAATATCATTGGAAAATTATGAAAATTTTCATTATGACTTTTTAGTCCCTAAACTTTTCACATTTTTACATATTGGTCCAATATTGAGGATGTCATTTGGGTTTATGGATGATCCACCAATCCACTTGAATCAATCAATGAATCCACCAATCCATTGGATCCATGCATTCAACAATCCAATCCATTTGTCACCTCTACTCTACATGACCCCTAGCTAGCAAACGTTGTCAATCGGATTAGATTTCGATGATTTCGATGATTTCATACACGTTCTGGATTCTAGGCATAATCTAGCTAATAATCTATGGTGGCTAACCTTTTGTTTGGTTCCTGCACTCCCAACAACGTAGCAGCCGGCCAACTTGGCAAACTGGCCAACGAGCTGACCGACAGCACCGGATGCTGCTGAAACGAAGACGCGGTCACCCTTGTTTGGGGCACAAGCGTCGAAGAATCCGAAGTAAGCACTCATCCCGGGCATACCTAGGATCCAAATATGAACAGAGGGTCTAATCAAATTAAGTCAGATATTCGAATTTGGAACTTCCATATCCAAATCTAATTAATGATATTGCCGCGCTAGGCCTAAATAATTACCAAGTATTCCGGTGTAGTAAGAAAGAGGGACATCCGCATCGTCAGTGATTTTGAAGAAGCCTATGGGGTCCTGAATGACGCTGTACTCTTCCCAAGCAGCTGTTCCCCAGACCAGGTCGCCTTTCTGGTAATCCGGGTGTCCCGAATCCACCACTTTGCTCACTCCCAGCCCTGAAATTAGCTGCCACCACATACACAAACAAACACAAGTCCATTCATTCATTGTAATTAGTGGTTTGAACTAGTCTTTTTATATATGAATGACTGAGTACGTAATCGGGCCGGGGACTTACCGAGCCGAGGGGGAAAGGGCCGAAATCGAAATCTCCTGGATCCGCGACATTGTAGGCGGAACGGGACATCCGGGTCCGGACGTAGGGATCGCAAGATAGGTACAGATTCTTGAAAACAACCGCATTGGAACCCGGCTCCACTTTGAGCTCAATCGTGGCCGACGCAGCGCCGAAATGGGACTCCTTGGGTGAATCCCCGCCGATTATGTACTCCTTGAGCACTATTTGCCTGTTCTGCTGCTGCTGCTGCACTACTGCTTCCTCGCCTCTCGCCATTGCCATATTAATTCCCTGCTGCTTTCTCCTGAGCATGCAGTATTTAATCCGCAATTCACAATAATTCTTATTTCTTGCACAACAAAAGCGGGCGGGCGGGCTAAGAACGATGACGTGATTGAGGGGGCCTCACTAGATTTTCTATTTAAAATATATATGATAGTGGCTCCCTCCAATTAGTCTCATTTAATCAGCATGATTATTTCATTTATCAATTAAATGATCATGTTATAATATTTAATTAATTAAACCGAAACGGTCAAAAAAACACTTCTGTATATGATGTAAGGGCCAGCCAGCGAGATATTCTAAGCTTGGATTGGATGTTTTAGCATCGGACTTCTTACCATAAAATAAAAAACAAAAACAAAACGCACACAATCATTATTTTATAATTTATATAAATAAATCACGAGCCAGCCTAAACTGACAAATGATTAACTAATGAAATATGCTTATACTTGCTGACAAAAGCAAGCTACAATAATTTCAAATTTTGAGAGCCGGTCCAAATGCAAATTAAGTATCCCCACCGACAAAGCCACTTGTGCTGCCGCATTTTTCTCTGTGGGATCTTACCCTTTCTTTTTTCTAGTGATATTTCTGAAAAAATTTCCGAAAAATACGGCAAGTGGAGTTGTCGGTGGGTGTACTGAACTACTGACCCAAGCACTTGTTTTTAGTTTTGGTCGCATACAAAAGGGAAATAATTTGCATTTGGACCGGCTTTCAAAATTTTTAATTATTGTAATTTCAATATCTCGCTCTTGGGCGTTTTCCCTTACATCAGGGAAGTTTTTATTTGACCGTTTTGGTTTTGGGTTTTGGTGCATGATTGTTAAGCCTTTCCATAATCGAGTCTTACAGGACACCGATTAATTACTTAATATTAATTAATATCATAATGAGGACATGTGCGAACCGAGACGGTTGACCCGTCAACAACTAGCAGTATCCTAAGCTGTACTACTAATTAATAAAGGGATTATTGTTGCTGGCTTGCTGCTATTAATATTGCAGTGATCAGTCCTAACTAGTCTTGGTTAATTAGGTGCAGTCATATACTAAGCTTAGTTTATTATTAACTCAAGTTAGTCTTAATAGAGCACTGGGCAACGATGGAGTTTCAATAACCGGTTAGTTTTAATAACACAAGTTGTTGGGGCAAGACGACTAGATGGGGATACATAATAATTTAGTAGAGCACTAAGCAACATTTGAATAGAAAATTAGGTACCAAATAATATTGGGCCGAAAGAGACGGAGAGGACTGGAAGCAAGCAGGTCTTGTTTGTTGTACTAGTTGTGGACCCGAATAAGGGTTGGGCTATGGCCCAGGGAGGCAACTACACGGATTGCTCTAGTATAACACGATGGCCGACAAGTTGCTCAAAGAGGCAATCTGTGTGGTTGATCGTTAATTGGTCCTTTCCAGGTGACTCGGGCCGCTGAAAATTAAAATGTAGCATACAACCATTGATGGCGTTATTAGAGGTTCAAGTTGTTTGCTCATCTATGGCACAATCGGCTCTCATGAAATCCTATAATACTACCTCCTCATTTGCATCATCACTCACACCACTTCACTCTTTTCCGCCTCTCCTGACCACTTCTGAAGGAAATGTTGAGTATGCTCTATGGTTGAGACTAAGCGTGATCCACACCAGAAAAGTTTTTATTGAGATGTTTATACGACCATCATCCTCTCAAAACTTTAGATAAACCTCTGTCAAGCCTCCGTAAAAAATGAAAGATAAAACTCTTAGGATATCTACTCATATTTTCTAACTATTATGTTTACTGTATAGCCAATTTCAAGTACGCGTGTTTTTACTATGATTGATCAATAAGAATCATTGGTGGAACGCTATAAGACCCATGTTTTAGTAGAATTACCAATGATGAGTCCGTGAAAATCATTATTAGTGCAGTAGAACTCCGTAAGGTTTCATGATTTTAGGACTAATGGATTTTCGTAACAATTTCCAACCAACCTTGAATTTCTTAATATGTGCAACTGAGATCGATATCCACACTAGAAAAGTTGCCATTGAGTGTCTTATATGACCATTTGTGATTGGTTATTAATTTTTCGATTTATTGTCATGAGCTCTATTTTTTTCTAGTTCATGCTAGATGGAAATCGAGATGTACGATCCTAGAACATATATCGATCATGTCCCGTGAGCAATCATTTGAAGTATGAGAAATCGTACCATCAATTCTAAAATGTTTGAGCAGATGACCTTGTAAGCACTCGACCATATACCACATGTATTTTGAGATGTGATGGTGATTTTTTATTTGAATGACAAAGTAACATTCACAATATATTAACCTAAATTCAAAGCTTAATTATAACCAACGACGACCCTTCTTATATTAAATAAAACACCAAAATACAGTTGCAGGTTCAATTAAAACAAAGATTACAGATTACAATACAAAGCAGCGACCAGCGATCGTTTCAGCATCGGAGTGCTCCTTCACCAAACAGCTCCCCCTGCATATGATTAATTAATCTGCTTTAGGGGTGGTATGGAATAGGGATGAGCACAAGGTCGTCTTTCCTTCCGACCTCCGTCCCAAATCTTTCAGACATATCCAACTCTTGGGGCATCATTCCGTTTGGTAACTTCCAGTCAAAATAGTAGAGTAAATTCGCAAGCACAAGATTGACTATAGCAAGCCCGTAATGCATGCCCGCGCAAATTCTCCGTCCTGCTCCAAATGGGATGAACTGAAAATCGAGTCCCTTGTAATCAATAGAGGTATTGAGGAACCTTTGGGGATTGAAAGTTTCTGGCTCGACCCAGTAATCGGGATCTCGACCAATTGCCCATGCATTAACTATGACCCTAGTCTTGGCAGGGATTCGATATCCATTAATTACGATCGTTTCCTGACATTCCCTTGGAACCGTCAAAGGACCGGGAGTGTGCAGCCTCAAAGTTTCTTTTAAAACAAGTTCCAGATAATGTAGTTCACCGATCCTCGCTTCGTCCACTGCTTTTTCGTTTCTATCGAACACTTGTCTGATCTCTTTTTGTGCTTTTTCCATGATGTCCGGGTTCTTCATGAGCTCGGAAATTACCCATCCTACCGTGACAGTCCATGTTTCCGTCCCAGCAAGAAATATATCCTGTAATAATAATATGGATGTTATCAATAACATGGAAATAGATTAGTTCGTTGAATCATTATTACCTATGCATTTTATTTTTATTCGTAAAAAAAAAAAAGTATCACTCACAAGGATGACAGCTTTGATCTCGAGGTTGGAGAACGGGAATCGGAGGTCGTGGTTCTCCTCCTTGAAATTCAAAAGAACGTCAACAAGATCTTCATCGTCATCGTGGTCATGTTTTGTTGTTGATCTTTTTGCCATATGGTCATCGATTACAGCTTCCAGAATGGCATCAGCTGCTGTGTGAATCTTCTTCAGTTTGGATTCGAATCCTGTGATGAGACGCAACAACTTGCTGGAAGGGAAGACGTCCACGAGGGTGAACCCTCCCAGCGCCTCAGTAATTTCTTTTATGAATGGCACAAAAGCTTGCCGTTGCTTCTCGGTGCTACTGCTCGTCCCAAACACTGCCTTTGAAGTGATGGCGTTCCCCAAAGAGCTCAGCATTCGAGTTAGGTTGACACCTGAAATCGTTGCCTACTTACTCAGGATCGTGGTATTACGCAATCAAACAAAATTCAACTCGAAGTCGCTGCATGGTTCAATAAAGTAAAACGAAGCACAATTTTTTTAGTGACGGAAATAATCGTCGCTACTGTTTGGAATAATAGTCACGGGTAATATTTATATCTGGTCGTCGTTGACCGCAACAATAATCCCGTGTTTTTACTTATAAAGACCACCATCTAGTCCGTCGCCCGTCACCGATTACCGTCGGGATCTACCTTTAGAGACGGGTGTCCTCCCCGTGGCTAAATCTCTTTAATTTTTCTTCTGGTAAAATATTTACTATCACTGTATAATGGTTGAAATTTATGAATGAAGTCATACTTGATCGATATACTACTTTGAAACCAACCAATACCACAAATAAATTGCAGTACTTTAATATAATATAGGTTGATTTTCATAATTAATTAGTACTAGCTAGCTATTGACGAATACATAATATTCAAATCTCAAAGTTTAAGATCGACTAGTGATATTACCCGATTTTTCAAGACTAGCGTGGCCACAGGAAGACGAGGTGATGGACGCCACCAGCTTACTCATCTCCGTTTCCATGGTGGGCTGGAGCGACTTGACGCGTTTGGGGCCCAACAGCTCCACGGCACAGACCTTCCTCATCTTCCTCCAGTACTCCCCGTGGGGAGCGAACGCGATGTCACGGCCGCCGTACATTAAGATGTCGACGGCAGGCATTGTGGGCCTGGTGGCGAAGTTGAGATCATGGGTCTGCATGATCTGCTTGGCCCACTCCGGGGACGAAACGACGACGCTGGACACCTGTCCGAGCTGGAGCTGCATCAGAGGCCCATGTTCCCTGGCCAGCTCGGCCAGGCGGCGGTGTGGGAGAGACGAGCCCGCCAGCTGGTGCAGGTTGCCGATGATGGGCAGCGTCCTCGGCCCAGGAGGCCGCACCCCACCAAGCGGTTGGGCTGACTTCTTGGAACAAGACCTTTTCGTTAATAGGAGGAATGCTATTGATACGATGAGAAGGCAAAGACTGAGGATTAGTACTGCAACGGTATCGTCCATTGTTAATTGCTCTTAGCTTCTCTGGTAATTTTGAGATTGGATATGTATGTTATGAACAGCACCACTACTACTTAATCAGCTCGTTGGTAATCTATCTAGCTAGCTATATCGCCATGTGCTTATCATTCAGATCCAACCTTAAATATATATAGTAAAGATGCTCCCATGTTTACTCTGTTAGTCTATTTCTTGTACCTCTTCTTGTTTTTTTTAATAATAATAATAGTAAACAACAGACAGCTCGTGTTTCGTCTTAATTGATTGCGACAACCATTGACTTGAGTGCCATTAAAGTACATTTTAAGAACTAGCCCCATGCATATTGGATCCGTCACCAGTTTTTTTTTTTTTTTTTTTAATAGCATATTTCTTTTTCTTGTCTAGTCGAAGCAAATATATGTTGACGAGAAAATAACAATATACCACAAGTAGTGGCACCTTATTTTTCATTCAAAATCAACGGAGTGCTAGAAAGTCCCCTGAAAATCATACGTCATCCAGTGATTCAACATAAGATCGAAAACCGGAGTACAAAAACTATGCATCCTAGTTACCCTCTTTACATATGTGAGAAAATATAACCACCCACTATCTTCTCAGTCTCAGCAGCACTGTTGTTCTAGAAATAATACTTGTTTGTTGGTTCACTCGTACCTTTAATCTGTAGCAACTGTATCGCATAATCCAAAAAGGTGACGGGCTGGCTACTCCAGACCAGATGACCCAGATCCACCTAATCCTCCTCGTTTAGACGGGCCCGGGGGTTGTTAGCCGCTCTAAACAAACCTTAAAAACGAGGATCATCATGCATGTCTGAATCTCGCTCATCGCTCGATCTGTAATTCACTAGACAACACATATCTTTGCACAACATAAACGATTAGTATATATAAAGCGCCTAATTACTTAAGGGGTTTAGTAGGATGCGGTCATATTCATAGTAAGCTCCTCATCTCTTTCTCCGTCGTCGTACGGAACTGCTTCTAGCTTTCCCCGTCGGCTGGCTGGCGATTAGCCAAGCCTACAACCCCTGATATCAAAAGGGATGCATGTCGGGCATCAACGGCGGCGGGAAGCTTCGTCGACCGACTGTTGATTAACCAAACATTAATCTCTGAATTGATCAACCCCTTAAATCCAAATGGCCATGTGTCGGGCATCAACGGCGGCGAAGTGTTGAATCTTTAATCAAAGCCCTCTAGAAGCAAACAATATCATCGCTGCATTTGGAGTTGTTGGGCAACAAACTGTATGTTACCCTTCTTCCTTCGACCCTGCTTCCAGATCCGATTTTGTACGTGTTCACCTCACAAGAGCTTGCCAGTCGCCAGTCTGAGTCTATCATCTTGGCGGCACCACCTAGGTACTTCTCTACTTTGCATTAGGGAAAGGGAAAATGTTAGAAAGGAAGAACAGAGGTCACCGTCAAGTTTGAAAGGGCTCGAGTGATCGATCAACTCCACAGCCGCTTCCAAATTTCCATTTATCAAGCAAGGCGAGCAACGAAATTCATCTTCTGTGAATTTCGAGTCAATTCTCCCACCCAGAAGCTATTCAATAACAGAGTTTGGACAAATGCAGAACCCTACTCCCTATCACTTCTCTCCAGTTCAGCAATTGAGCTAGAAATCGTCCTCTGCAGCCTGGAATGAGATGCCCGGCCGTCTGGGCATATATAATAGAGACAGCTAGAGAAAGGAATTGCATGTCATCTATCTATCTTTTTTCCACTGCACTTTGGATTTGCCCTCTTTAATTCTACCCTGGTCGTATCAAGTTCTACTCTGCTTTATCATGTGTTGAATATGATTTGGTGGAGATTGATTCGTCGGAGAAGAATATAAACAGAAATTGGTTGTTGGAGAGACTATAATGGGTTCATTCTTATTTTAATCAACGAATGCTACTAGATACTCTCCGCCGAAGAGTCTACTCTTCTCATTTTATATTTGCCTCTTTTGCGAGATATCATATATGCATGAGTTACATTTGGCAGCAAAAGAATGACATTTGGCAAACTCCACTAATCTTATGGTTTCACTACACACCACTCCAATCCAAATGACGATGTGCAATTGCAGAGCTTGCTGCATAATAAAGATGTCCATGTCTTAGGCATTTTTTAAAATGCCTAAATCAGTTTAGCATTTTGATGGTGTTTTCGTTGATATTCTCAATAAAATGTGCGAGATTAAAAGGTATTTACAATGAGAATATTTGAATGTGTATTGGTTGAAGTTATGGTGGTTGTTGAATTGCAGTGGTTGGTGCATCATTAGCAAAGCATTTGAGCCGATTTAGTAAACATTTTTTTTAGACACACTTAATACATATTATGATTTTGGTTAGTAAAGTATCCATTCAACTGTTCAAGTAGTGGTTGATTAGTAATTAATGGTCATGTGGATGAGTAGTTTCTTCGATTGGCCTTTGGGGTTTCTAATAAATTGTTTGTAGCCGATTTGTAATATATTTTTTTTTACTCCTATTGCCACGCGCCTATACTTTAAACGAGATCATATGATCTAAGATTATAAAAAAATCATGATTTCTGATAATTTGGGTATTCTAGTTGCCGAAATGTTTGAGCATAGTGCTTCATGTATGTAAAAAAGACTATTTACCGTATGGTTTTACTATTCCAAAAAGACATAATGAAATTTGAATTAAAAAATAAAACTTTTAGAACACTCATTTCTTCCCCCTTCGACGATTTCCCCTACATTGGCCAAGGTCACATTCGAATTGCGATCCACTTCAAGAATCATATATTTTTTAAAAAAAGTCAACTGGACAAGAAGTCCTTCAAGTACTTAGTCAAGTATTCTTAAGGTTAACTTGCTTTGCTTAACAAACAACTCATCCTACGAACGGTGAATAGATCACATGATAGCGTATACTATAAAATACTATTTATTAAAAAACATGCATCCTCCTCAATGCATTGATTGTTATTTTTTCGTAAAAAAAAAATACATTCTTATTATGTGTTTTTCCAATGTCATGATCTTACCTGGATCAATATGCAATTATGCATGCAAGTCAAGTGTTTTACACTTTGTTTTTCAGTTACTCTAATCTTCTTTGAAAAGAAAAAATTCCAGAACTCTCAATGGATATGCTATTCGTGAATGTTAGTATTTACGATCTTATAATGGTGTTCGATTGAAAACTGCACACATTTGAGATGACGAATTATGTTAAAATTACAATTTTGGATAATTATGGTAAACTTAGTTATAAGAAGATATATTGAGAACAATTTGATGATTTTTTAAAAAAAATTTTGGATACATCATACAAAGTACATATGTTTTTAATTAAATTTATTTAAGATTATCTCAAAGATCTCCAATTCTCCACAAATATAAAGTCGTATATGTTCTTAAAGAAATTTAATAAATAAAAATATAATTATAATAAATTTGGAAATCAAAATTAAGCCACAATAAGAATAGATTTAGTCTAATTCAATTTGGTGTAACTCAATTAAATACTCATCGATACCCGCCGCAGAGCGCGGGCCAATTATCTAGTGAATCATTAATGATAGAAAATTGCATTTGGAATACGCCAAATACCATCTTGATATCTTTTTTTCCAGCGGCCTCTTACTTCTTAGCAAATAACTTAAGTTTTGATTCTTGGAATAATGAGACTGATTCGACGAATGTGGACAACAAAAGTAGTCAAATTTACTATGTTACTTTCATCTCAAATATATCCCATTTTGAAACTACATGTAAAAATTATTTCAAGCTTAATGGTAACAGTTGCCAATTATTATTTTTTTCCCAATAGATCACTCAACTTGAAGATATCAATGTGCAATTTATTAGCAATTACATAACCAATAAACAAAAAGACGAATCTCAATAACAATTGATAACAGAGAATGACGGACCACCAAATGGACCTTCCTTTTTCTATTCCGACCAACAAAATAAAAACGAAACTTAGGCATAGAGTGCAACGGCTGACAAATCTCCAACACGATGGAACCAGCCTTCGCATTATGAGTGTTATTACTTATTAGCATTGCAATGATCAATTAGCCTCTTCTTATCCCCACAGATAAGAACGCTGCCAAGGCCAAACTGTTTGTAGAGTAGAAGAGCATTTCGCAGAGCCAAAGCTTCAACCACCGTGGGATAGGCATGTTAAATAAAAGGGCAATGCCTAGTTTTTATCAAAACCTTTTTTAGATTTTTTTATATTATTCAAATGTAAGATATAGAAAAATTAAAAAAAAAGTTGGCTGATAATTTTTTTTCGATAAGTTTGGCTAATAAATAAAATCTGAATGTAAGTACCATTATGTAAGATATACTCATAGATTTAAAAAAAAAGTTTAGGCATCAAGATGTAAGATATAAAAAATTTAGATCCTCAAATGTAATTTTCCATCAATAATTTTAGGAGTTACATGCTAGAGGAAATAATTTTAGGCACTGAATTTTAAAATCAATTAAGTTTAGGTATCAAAGTACTGTAATTTGCATATGAAACTCAAATCCACGAAAATGAGAGAAAAGATCTATTATAAATGGTAGTTATTATAATACTTTTATTATTAGTAGTGTATTTACGCATAGTGAATGTTAGCACCCTATTATGTTTTTCCGACTTGCAAACAAGAAGAAAGAAAAGGATAGCATGCATTTGATTTGGGTAATTGGAAAGAGTGAAATGTTGATGATTCTTTATGATGGAAAGGATAGCATGCATTATCGAAGGTGGTCGTGGGTCGGCTGGGTTCTGGGTTTCGCTGGACTGACTCCCCCAACGCATTTTCACGACAAACAATATATAATACGAGAATACTGAGCGTGGTTCTTTCTCTTGGTTTCCGCAGTTTCTAACATTGCAACAAGAAAAAAAAACACGAAACAATACTAAACATGACCCAAGTATATAACGCTTATTGCTTTTATTTAAATGGATTCGAAGAGAAATTTTACAATGCTATATAGTATTGGTGTTACAGGTTTTTGCCTTTATGCTACAACTTAAAATTATACATTTACGTTATGGTACAACTTTAGATTGTATTTATACTTTTTGTACAAATTCTATTATGGTACAACTTAAATTTGTACCTTTATGTGATGGTACAACTTCAAGTTGTAAAGTTGTACCATAACATAATGGTACAAATTGCTTTATGGTACAACTTAAACTTATACATTTAATGTTATGGTACAACTTTGAGTTGTACATTAAAGCATCAATGCTATATAGCATAGTAGAAGTGCTCGTGGATTGAAATAAGACAACGAGGGAAACCTAAAGGGAGCAATACAACAGTTGATATCCTGCATACATACATCACCTAAGTTAGTTTAGGGTTGTATGCAATGGGAAGGAGGATTAACTCAAATTTCCTCCTTACTTCAGTCCCAAAAAATTTCGACCTCTTTGGTGGTGTAATTAAGTTGTCAAGAATCAGTTGGCCCCAATAACTTGTGTTGTTGGGAGATGTTCAATTGTGGATCATATACCGTTAACTAACACACACCCTCAAACGAAAGTCACCATATATGAGTTTGAAGTTTGCACAGGTCCGGACACCTTGTGCTAAATAGAAACAGATGGGGGTCATCGGGATTCAAACAGAAGACATCTCGATCATAAAAAGCCTTGATACCATATCAAGAACCAGTTGGCCCAAATAACTCGAGTTATTGGGAGATGTTCAATCGTGAATCATATACCGTTGACTAACACAAGTGAAGGAGCTTCTAGTCAAAATTACAAAGTAAATTGGGAAGGTTAGCTTTTTTTTTTGTAATGATGTAATTCATTTATTAATTAAAGTGAAAGTTAAAAAAAAAAATCAGAAAGAGACAAGGCCAGACAGGCGGCCAGCAGTAGAAAAGTTCCAACCAAAACCAGAGTAAACACAAACACAGACAAACAAGTCTCCACGGATCAAACATGACAAGCACATTCGCGAGACAAACGGGAACAGGACACCAACTAACAGAATCTGCAACTGAAAGGAATTGGCAAGGTTAACTTAAAATAGACCAAAGCGACCCCGCAAGACATGCCTGTTGTTCACATTCTTTGTCCAGCTCCGAATAGGATGAAATGGAAATCCATCTAGCTGGTCCGTTGAAATCAACAAAAGCATGCATGCATCAAGGAAACTTGTCTTGGCTGCTCCGTTTGTTGTTGAGTTGAGCCTTACGGTAGGCTTCCTCGGCCAGTGCCATATGCCGAGCAACTTCTTGTCTGTGCTTCTTTTGTTGCCTTTCTTGTTCATCATCATCATCATCTGCTTCTCTGTGAACCAGCGCAGCGGCCTTCTCTCCGTGACCATGGATCTGGGGACAATTCTCAGCACCAGCAGAGAGTTGACTAAGCCCACGGACCTGCTTCATGCAGTATTATAGTTGTTATTTATTTCACAGCTTCGATAAAGGAAGAGAGGTGAATGTATATATATATATATATAGTAACTGGTATACCTGCAGGAGCTGGGAGTCTTCGTCGGCGAGAAGAGAGGCGCCGGAGAAAGAATGCCGCAGCTGCAGGCCGATCACTTTGGAGAAGCAAGTAGAAGTTGACGAGATTAGTTCTGATGCCTTTTTTAGCGTACACAACTTCTTCTGCATCGGCATCATCTTCGCTTTGAGATCAGGCCACTCTTTTTTCGTTAGTTTCTTCAAATATCAACTAGATATCCGTTCGTTTTTTGTGCTATATAGTCTGATATAACAATTAATATTTTATTTACGTGGCCCTACTGTCTTCTGGGAAAAGTGTTAGGTTATGCACAAATATACATACTTTTTTTTTTTGAAGAATGCACAAATATACATAATTATAGGTTATGCATTGAGCATGTGATAGGGTGTGAGATTAGAGATGCCAATTTGAACCCGCTTCGTTGGGTATTACCCGACTTGATCCGTGATGGGCCGGGTATTATCCGATCCACAGTAGCGTGGGGCGGGATATGGGTATTAACTTCCGACGCGTCCTGTTCCGGCTCGCCCGTTTCTTGACCCGTTCTAGGTCAATTTCTTACGTCGTCCCTTCATACATCTCCTATTTTGACTTTTCTTCAATTAGTTAGACTTAATCTTTCAACTAGATAGACTCAACGACCTATTATATTATCACTATTATTCATCCATGAAATCTTTTCCACTTCCTTTTATAGTAAAAGTGAAATTTTGCGTGTATTATTTTCAAATAACATGTAAGTGTGGGTCGACCCGCGCTGCTCCGCCCCGTACGGTCGTACCTGTGCGGATAATACCCGTCCCGTAGTAGCGTGGGAAGGGACACGGATATTGAGGTACCCGCCCCGCCCCGACCCATTGCCATCACTAGGTGAGATAGAGAAATGTAATTATATTCATTTATGACATTCTTATATTCGCCAATGGCTCAGGAGAAATTAAAAGTTTTTTTTTTGTTAAAATTAAAATTTTTTTTTACGTATTAGTAGATCGTCATTTTCCTTCCTTCCTACGTACGTACTTCTCCTAGCTTCCTGTGACTTTGAACTTTGAAACCATTAAATTTTAGGTTGAGTTTCACTTTTTATTCTCTTTACTTCTCTTATTACTATACTAGCGTGGCCCCGGTCATTTGGCCGGAGGAAGTTGAGGTATGAAATTTAATAATGTAATGGGGTGTATAGCTTATTGTTGTATAGTTTTTTTTTGGAAACACATGATAAAAATAGTGAATTTTAATAGAAAAGAGACATGAATGATGCAACGAATCAAAAATCAGTCTTATGAACTAAAATCAAGTATCTGTTACCTTGTGAAACAATATTATTTCTGGTAATATGATGAGGTGGAGTAAGTTTTATAGAAACCAAATTCTAGAAAATCGAATAAAAAATCGCCTATCCCGCCGGTTTTCGGGAAATAAGCATCTCACAATCTTTGCTAGCTTTTACTCGGTCCGTTGGCCAATTAATTTGCTTTATAAAACTTTCATCTTGTCATCATTGTGCTTTCTGACTTTTTGCCAAGCCATGATAAAATCTAAAGAAATCAAGAATGAACAACACGATTTGGGATAGGAACCATCGTTCATGTATCCCTAGAAAATGGTGGTAAACACGGACTCACCTGCCAAAGTGGTTTGGATTGAGATTTTTATCGGTATCACGGAACCATGTGATTATAAATTAGACTTGATCAAAACGGTCCAAAACTTGAAATTCAGCATGTTTGACCGACCCATGCCAAACTCAAGTTATTCTTTACTTTTAAACTTTCTATTTGAAAATAAAAAATAACGAAAGAAAAGAGATGACTGCAATTCGCCATTTGCACATCACTGATTCGGGAATAAAACTATAGAATTTCGAAAGGAAAATGTTTAGGATCGTTTTAATGTTAAAGATAATTAAATAGATCTTTCTGTTTAGTTTTTTACTAACAAATACCAAATAATTCCCTATAATATACACTATAATTTAATCATTATGATATCAAATAATTACATGATATATATTTGAAATGATAAAAATTGGACTAATTGGGTTGGTCGAGGTTGAAACATTGAATAACTTTAAAATACATTATATTGTAGCCACTAAGATAACATAATATCATAATATATCTTATGCTAGAGAAAATAGTTTGTTTTAGAATGACAAACCCATGATGTTCATTTGTTTTACTTGATGGGAAAATCCCGTGTAGGTCAGGCCCATTCAACTCTTTTATTTTATGATTAGCGGTTAGCCCATTAGAATCCATGCATTAGTTTATTGTTAAATTTTTTTTCTTTTTAGCAATAAAAAGGAGTATTGTTTTTGCCTTTTCATATATATTTTACCACGGAAAAATAAAAAGACTTAAAGGAAAAAATTGACACTCCTAGACCCGTTTAAATCTGCATGTGTTCGGTAAGTTGGCCCGTTCCACAGAAAAAAAAAAAGAAAAAAAATTGACATTCCCTATTCTACCCTTCCTACAAACGCTCATGGAGCAGGGAATTTGAAATGGCGGAAGGGTTTTTTCCTCTCTGCGATTATATGTTTTTAATTTAAAAAGATACAACAAATGTATTTAGTGTGATTGGTTATTATCTTTGTTTTTCTTTAAAGTGGTCATGGTTCGAATCCTAATAAGTGTCTTTTTAATGAATAAAAGAAAAGTAATTGTGAAGAGCAAAATGTCCTTCTTTCATTCTGGATGCAGGAAATTTGAAATGAGACTTCAAATTTTTTTCATTTGGCTTTTGGAATCAAATATCAATGGGCAATTACAACCCAATAGTTGACCACCCATAGAGAAAAGTAATTATTTTCATCTATGACACTTACAGTGACCAAACTACCCTTCTCTCATTTCATTACGTACCCTTCCCGTTACGCAATGTTGGATCTGAAATGGGATTTAACTTGACTAATTGATATGACGATAGGAAGGACTTAATCAAAATGGGGATTATATTTGAGTAATTGATATGACAGATATGGGGAGAAATTTTACAATGCTATATAGTATTGGTGCTATAGGTTTTTTTCTTTAAGGTACAACTTAAAATTGTACATTTACGTTATGGTACAACTTTAGATTGTACCTATACTTTTTGTACAAATTCTTTTATGGTACAACTTGAACTTGTACCTTTATGTGATGGTACAAGTTCAAGTTGTAAAGTTGTACCATAACATAATGGTACAAATTGTTTTATGGTACAACCTAAACTTATACATTTAATGTTATGGTACAACTTTGGGTTGTACATTAAAGCACCAATGCTATATAGCATGGTAGAAGTGCTCCAGATATGGGAAGGAATTTAATTAAGCAAAATCGTGAAGCACGTCGTTGTGACTGCCGCCCCGACCGGCGCAAAAGTTTACACATCACGATGCTCATATTTCGATTTTATTGCATTTAAAACCAATCAATTATCATTCTTACATAAAATAAATTCTCACAAAACAATATTTATAATAATATTTCCAAAAAATCAAAATTTTGGATTGTTCGTTGGACAGTGTAGCAAACTACTTCAGGGTTCATGTGAGTAAGTAACGATTAATGCAGATCGCCTGAATCTCTAGTGAACAACGTATTGTTTGCAGTTTTTTTTGTTGAGATGCAAATGTATAGAGCGAACCGTGAAAGGTTTTGGAGTTGTTTGAGGCTGAGTCAAGCGATTTACTTAGATCGTTTGATTCAGCCGCAATCCAATTCAAATCCTAAAAAGTTCGATGCAGTGAATTAGCTGATGTTTCACAGTTTAAGGTATGAAGCGAATTAATATTACTCAAAACGTACAATATTTCGTTAGACAACATTGTGTAGACAAGATAAACAGTTATAAGAAACAAACGTTAAAAAACCTAGAAAGGACAACATGCAATCTCTAAATTCAGTCTGATCCCCTCAACATTGGCTCCTCCTCGTGCACCACGTCTCGCCCAACCCTCTGAACTATATTTGTCTCGCGAATACGATGTGCAACTAGAGTAGCATGTTGGATGGAAAGTTTAATGGACATGTTTTAAGAAAACATCCCAAACAATGGAGGTGATTGCTATTAGCCTAACCATTTGTTTGCTTCAAAATGAACGACAAATAAGCTAAACTGTTCAATCCTTTGCATGCCTCACCTATCTTTTAGTCTATTGATGAGGACAATGTACTTTTTAATGTGTGTGTTCATGATGTGGTTGTGATGTTTCATTTCATTGTGCTTTATACATGTTCTAAGTTTAGTGGCATAATGCAATCAGTCTTGGATATAGGAATCTAGAGATTTCACTTCATTTAGAAACATAAGTGTAGCGACAATAAAGAATGTAACAATCAATGAGATATAATGAGAATTTAGTGTGTTTGAATACCGTGTTGTTTGATTCAACTTTCTAAGTATGAAATGCCTCAGAGAAACCTAAACTATTCAGTGTCGATTCCTTAAATTTGACGGATTGTTTTTTTCAAACCAGATCGACTTAGTTGAGGACATATCTGTTAAGCAACCTAGACACCTAGTTAGCGAGTGTTGAGACCAAAAAAGTACTATTATATAACCCTTTTTATCAACTCTCGAGATCCATATATAGTTTCTAGGTAATAAAAAAAATTTAGTAACTCTCATCACAGAAGTAAGCAGACTCAAATTTCATCTAATATGCCTACTAAATCCATTCCTAATTTTCACTTACATTTATGTGTAAAAATCTATCGCATTTAACCATTCAGTTGACACATATATCGGATCATAGTTCTTAATTTAAGTTTATTTGTATGAAATAATGTGGCAACTACTAATAACAAAATAACCACCCCATGTTTAATTACTTGGTATGAGAACTAACCAAATGTGTACAACCAATTCCGTGTTCCAAATTAAAAAGCACTTTGCTTGATGAAAATATCACCTTTTCTTGAACGGCAAACCTTTTCACGATGAAAATTGATGATATGGTGATTATTTTAACTATAGTGAAGAAATTACATTGTGTAAAAAATAACTATTCCTCCATGAACAAAACGAGTTGTTGTACGAGATCAAAGGATTGATCTGATCTTATTTCATTCACATAGAAATCTTTCGGGGGAATTGCAGAAGTGACCATTATTTATTACTAGTTAGTGAAGAATTAGAGGAGGATTCGGGGAAGCAAATTCCAAGAATTGAGGGTCAGACTCAAGACCAGCCATCACATCTTCATCCAGCCTCATCGACGCCTCCACCATCCCAGAGTGAACCGGGCCGGCCAATTCCTTCAAGATCATCAAATTCTCCACACAAGGTTCATCCCCTCTCGCCTCTCCAAGCATACCTACCCAAGCCGGTTTACCCAAGCGCCCCAACTCAAACCCATCGAGATCAAACGAAAGCAAGCTCGAGCTTGTCATAAACTGCCGCCCACTGCTAATTTTCCCCACCCACCACTTCTGCCCTTCAACCCTGGTCCTGAACCCTTGTTCACCGGAGATGGAGTTGAGGAAACTTTCGTCAACTCCGGCTGTTGCTTGCCTTATAACCGCCGCCAGCTCGTCCATTGTCTCCCTGCAGATATCACACCAAATACACGTACATATGATCACCAAAGAGACGTACGTACGTACGCACATGTAAATATTACGACACATTTCCTTATGATCTGAACTTGTAGCTTTAACGTTAAGATACAACTTCAAAGTGCTAGCATATTCGAATTTTATATACGCGAGCGAACAAGATGGAAGTCGAAAATACGAGAAAGTAAAAGAAGAACGTAACACACCTCTGTCCGCGGAATGCAAAGGGCAAGGTGAGGACGTTGCCAATACAGTGTGGGGACAAGCGGTCGCCCATGCGGTTCCTTAGGTTGATTGGCTGGCCGAAGCACTGCAGCAACTGATCTCGGTCGTGATCATCGGGTGCAGCCCTGAGCGCGGATTCCCAGACGAAAGCCGACAAGGCCTCGGTGCGGCTCGGGCTCTCCACGTGGCTGCTCCTGGCTCGGTGTTTGAGCGCGGCGACGGCTTCCTTTTGGAATACGAATCTCCGGGTGGCCGTCCTTCGGTGGTTCTGGAAGAACAATTCGTCCGTGGGGCTCACCATCGACGGCGGGATCGATGGTTGAGGAGGGAACACGGAGGCCGCGCTGGTCAAATCCGGTGGCATGATGATTGCCGGTCGTTGTTTGTTGGTGTCGCGCGCGGAAGAAAAACTTGAAGAAGAATCCGATTTTGCTATTGCAGCCCAGGCGTCGAGGAATGCAACTATGGTGCCCACATCGGCGATCTTGTGGTAAAAGTTGAGCCCGATCGCAACCCCTCCACACTCGAACGTATTCATCTGCAACCCCATCCATCGTGTATATTTATATTTCAATGAAGAAATGCCGTCAAGATCGAAATTCTACTTCCGGAATTACGTACGTACAGCCAGGAATATTATAAAAATTCCAAGAGAAAGTATTAGAGTTGTGTGCTTTTAAGTTTTAAAGCGCCTGCGTTTTTTACTGAATTGACCAAGAGAGTTCGACCTAGCTAATATTGTTAATTTTAGGTACCTTTGTGTAATTTACCAGCCTTAGTCATTAGGGTTTTGCATGGCCTCTATATATAGTGTTGTTTTGTACAGCCGCTTAATTTCTGTAATAAAGATTGACTTTGGAGGGTTTAGGCTCTCCCGTGGACTAGTCCTGACACTCAGGGAAATCACGTTAAATCCGGTGTTATTGTTCTCGCTTTACTCTGACATGGTATCAGAGCCACGTCGATTCAAGGCTTGATTTTTTTTTGTTGATTAGTGATCTTGGCGCAGCAGACGGATCGAAGCAGCAGTCACGTTCGGAAGAAGGTTGCAGCTGAGGGTCCTAAGATTTGTTCTTGAGGTGTGTTCTTGCGCAGTTGGTGATCACAAATCCAGTTGGTGTTTGCGAGAATGGATTCGAACAAGGCGGATACGATCGCAACTAAGTTTGATGGGAAAAACTTTCCCTTGTGGGAGTTTCAATTTCGGAACTACATAGCAGGTAGGAAATTAACGTCGGTCTTGATGGGGGAATCGAAGGCACCTGGTGCGGACTCTACCCAACAACAGAAGGATGACTGGGCTGCTCTCAACGCCCAGGTTGTGACCGCTCTCCTGGGATCGCTGGATGTGCAGACAGCACTAAGCCTCCGTCGATTCGAGACAGCTCACGAGATGTGGAAGCATATTTGCGGTACGTACTCTCAGGCGAATACCTCTCGTTTGTATGAATTGGAAATGGAAATGGCTAGCCTTGCTCAAGGTGATAGGGATGTACGAGGGTATTATAAAGATTGCTTGCACGTCTGGACCGAGTATGACCTGGTTACAGCCTCGCTGTTGCCTGGGGATGAGTTAGTTGGATTGAATACGAAGGGCTTCACATAGTCTGTTTTTCTTGTGGCAAATTCGGACATCAGGAGGAGGCGTGCCGTGAGAACAAAACAGGGGAAGATCAACAAAAAGGGAGAAAAGAAGAACAGGAGAAAGAACAGGAGATTAGGCCTGAGATACTTGAGGATTTTGGACCATGGATGCTGGCAACCAGGAGCAGACGAAGAAAAAAAACACCGAGGAAGCAGCCAAATGTTGAATCGAAAGGAGGTGACAATCGAAAAACTGATGAGCAGGTCGGTGGTTCCCGGTTCAACTCTCTACTGGACGAGGAAGCAGAAGAAACAGAGACAATGGAGGACGTGGAGGAAGCAGAAGCAAAAACAGAAACAACAATCCAGCAAGAACAGAGTTCAGTGTCCAGAACACAAGGAAAGACACAAGTGAAACAAGCGAAAAGACACCAAAAGAGAAGTCCAAAAATGATAAAGATGAAGAGAACCCTAAGCAACATCGGACACCGCAAGAAGGCAATCAGAAGCAGAGTAACAAAACAAGGAAGGAAAACCAGAAGGCGTCCCCAGAAGCTTCCCTCCCCCCAACCAAAACAACCGAAGCCACAACTTCGACTACCTCATCCTTATCCAC